TTCATATTTTGGTTAAGATATATTTGATGCTTAGACAAGCATTCCATTCCTCCATCCAATTAATATGTGCGTCTACGGTGCCAGGCATTATGCTAGGCGCCGGGTTTACAGCAGTAAACAGAGGGTTCCTATCCTCAAGGAGCTCACCCTCTAACACGGATTGCTGACTGTAAACAAGGGCAGATGACTGTAATAACGGTCTCTGAAAAGCCAGGAGCTGTCTGGCGCGCAAATGAAAACAAGTTTCTGGAAACCCTGCGTCAAACGCGGCCTTTTGGTTTCAGTGAAGAGAAAAGGCGAAAGCGCATGAGACATCATCTGGTGCTCAGGCTTAGCTGAACATCCCCACCAAGGGACACGGACCCTTCAGGGAAAGTGCTCTCCTCGCTGCCCTCACCTGGCCCCAGCCCAGGCCCCCCAGTAGCGGCTCCAGTTCTGGGTCAGCAGCATCACCTCCCATTTAGCAAGGACGCACAGGCGCCCTGCGGCCGACAGCCAGCCCTCCCGGCCCGGCGCGCCCACCCACGTCCTCGGGGTGCCGCGCCCCACAGCCCAGCCGTTTCCAGCTCGGGCGCGCGCCCAAACGGCGGGGCTGCAGAAGGCGGGTCCGAGGCGCTTCCCCGGCTCCCCGCGGCCCCCGCCCAGCCCGCCCCCCGAGCCCCGCAACTTCCCGCCCCGGGCCGCAGGTGGTAGCCGGGCCCAGGCCCCGAGCCGCGCTCACCCCCGGGCGGGGGGGCGCCTCCCGCGTGCTCAGCACCGGCAGACCCGGCGCCGGCTCCGCCGCCCCCAGCGCCGGGGCCCCGGCGATCTGAGAGTCCATGCCCAAAGGCCCGCAGCTCGGCGCCCCGGACGCCGCTCGGCCACGTGACACGCCGGCCTGGCTGCCAGCCGGAGGATACGCCGCGGAGGGCCAATCAGCCGGGGGTGCTCCCGGCCGGGGGGCGGGGCGCGGGGGGTCACGAGGAAGCCGGGGCCGGGGCAAGGGGCGGGACGGAGCACGGGGCGGAGCGCGCCCGACTGCAAAAGCCCCCCTCCCTACCTACCGGTCCCGGAATCTGATTTTTGTAGCTCCTGACGATGCAGATCCCAGGGCTAGACGACTAGCTGGGTCTGGAATGCCATGTGTTATCCCTACCCCACCACACTGAGCATGCTTCCGCTTCATAAACTGTTAGAATAGTTGATTACCCGCGTCTACCTGATAGTGTATAAAACTCAGCTCTCAAAACTTTTCATGCAACTGTAGCTCTAACCCCATTTCACTCTTTAAATAGGTTTCTCTAGAACTCGGTCTGGAGTTAAGACTATATAACTCACCCACAAACGGATGAGACAACTCAGGAGCCCAGTGATTCCCCACCTTGAGTTAATGTCAGTTCTTAAAGTTAACCCATTAGTAACCAGGTTGGATGATCAAAACAAACTCTTCAAACGTTCCAGACACCCTATAGGCTATGACAATTGGTCATAGTAACCCTAAACATTCTGTGCTGGGCCGGTACAGTCTTACCTGGGCGCCGATACTAGCAGAGGTTAGGCAGTGCCTGGGCTGGGGATAAACCAAACTCTAAAGACAGCTTTCCCTGCCCTTCCCTGCACTGTCTGAACTCCAATAACAAATCTGCTCAAGGTGTGATAATCATGTTAACCTTTAAATAGCAGAAAAGCTGGAAGCTGGGAGTCCTTGCTTCACCAGGCCACCTTATGACAATCCGAGACATTAGCCTATTCGTTCATCTCCCTCAAAGAGAGTGTTGTTTATACATACACATTTGAAAAAATTTAGCCTAACAGGTCATACATTTTTTTCTCTATGTAGACTTTCCTACAAGGAAGAGAATGTGACCAACCAATGTGTGTTCTGTTCTGACCCATGAGTTAGTTTCCCCAAATCTAACTGGATCTAGGTCAAGTGTCCAACAGAACCTTATTTGATGGTGGAAATAAAAGTTCTGTTACCTGTGATGTTCAGTATGGTAACCATGCAGCTGGTTGTAAACAAGAAACTGAATTATCTAATTTCAATACATTTAAGTTCCCACACGTGGCTGGAAGCCACCCTAACAGTGCAGCTCTGGGTCAACTGGCTACATGCATTTTCATTACCTGCAGTGGTGAGAACCGGGTACAGGGTGTGATGACCCAAGGGTGACCCACCTTCATAGCCTTGCTTTAAGGCAGAGGTCCCCAACCCCCGGGCCACGGACCAGTTATCAGTCCAAAGGAACCGGGCCACACAGCAAGAGGTGAGCAGCAGGCCAGCGAGCGAAGCTTCACCTGTGTTTACAGCCACTCCCCATCGCTCGCATTACCACCTGAGCTCCACCTCCTGTCAGAGCAGCAGCGGCATTAGATCCTCATAGGAACCTACTGTGGACTGTGCATGCGAGGGATCTAGGTTGTGCGCTCCTTATGAGAATCCGATGCCTGATGATCTGAGGTGGATGATCTGAGGTGGAGCGGAGGTGGTGATGCTAGCGCTGGGCAGCGGCTGCAAATACGATTATCATTAGCAGAGAGGTTTGATTGCACAGAGACTGTAATAAATCAGTTGCTTGCAGGCTCATATCAAAACCCCATCAGTGAGTGGCAAATGACAAGCTGCATCTTATGGAGTAGACTGGACATAAGCCACACACTTCGCGTGTCACTGTCTCCCATCACCCCCTGATGGGACCATCTAGTTGTAGGAAAACAAGCTCAGGGATCCCACTGATTCAGCATTATGGTGAGTTGCATAATTATTTCATTATATATTACAATGTAATAATAATAAAGTGCACAATAAATGTAATGCACTTGAATCATCCCCAAACCACCCCCCCGCCCCCGTCCGTGGAAGAACTGTCTTCCACAAAACCGGTCCCTGGTGCCAAAGAGGCTGGGGACCGCTGCTTTAAGGAATCACCCACCACCCTCTTTACTCTCATCTCTTATATGCAACATGTATCTCTTTCCTAAAATAAAAAAGCCCTTTAAGGATTTAAATGTTGAACTTCCTGGGACTTAACGGAGCGGAGAAAGAGGAGATTTTTCTTATTTTAAAACAAATGACACACAAACACCACTTTGGGTACAAAAGCTCATAATAAAGATGCCCTAAAATAGACTCTAATATTCATAGGGATTTAATATATAATAAAGGTAGTATTACAAATCAGCAGAGACAAAAATGGCTACAAACGGTGCTGTGGAAAATTTAGTTAACTGCATGGGGGAAAAAATACTGAGTTGTCCTCAGCAAGAGGCAGGGTTTTCAACAATAGAAATCATACATACAAAACCTCTGGACCTCAAAAAACACCACACAAAAAAAAGCTGGGGGCAAATTATTTGCAAAATAGAAGAGACGAACTAAAGATTACTATTCTTAGTACATAAAAAACTCTTATAAATTAGTAAAAAAAAAAAAAAAGGTAAAAAAATAGTCAAACATGAAAAGACATGAGAACCAGGAAAAATGCATTAACTGCACTGATATCAAAGAAATGCACATTAAAACAGGCTATATCAGTTTTCACCTATTAAAATGGTAAAAATAAGAAATATAATACAGTGCTTGAAAGTATTTTCATACATTGCAAATTGGCAATACTTATCAATATTCTTTAAAACAGTTTTATCCCTTAATACAATAATTCTACTGTCAGATGTCAGTCTCCTAAAGAAATAACCAGGGATGATAACAAAGATTTACAAGAATCTTCACCAACAGTACTTACAAGAAAAAATTAGAAATGACAAGGTCCAACCATAGGGGATTAGTAAAATAAGTCATGCCTCATCTATACAATGGAATGTTCTGAATTCATTAAATCTTTTTAAGGCTATTTAATGACATGGAAAAAAAACATACTATTAAGTGAAACATAATAGTAAGTAAAACTGAACTGAATGCTTCTCCCAGTGACAGCATCATAATGTTAAGTTACAGGACGTACAATTCAAACAACTGCCTCCCCTGCTCCCAGAACGCCCTTCTCTACTCCAAGCCATCCTCCATCCTTGCCTCTGAAGCCCTTCTCTTTCTAAGTTACTCCCTACCCCTGCCCTTCTTTTGTTGCTGGGCCTCCCCAATGTAAACATTTCTCTGCAGATCGGTCCCAGAGATAGAACATGCTTTTATAATCGCTTAAATCTTCTTAAAGGACAACTTTTCCCCCAATACCCAGCATTCTTCTCTGCTGCTTCAACCAACTCAGCACATCCAGCTCTGTTCCTCCAACCCTTACCTCCATCCCAAAAAGCTTCTCCTCTTTCCTGCCTATGACGGGCACTCAATGAATGAATGAATGAGTAAATGATCTAACAGTATAAATCCAATTCTAATAAAGGAAATCAAATTAGTGATTTTAGTCCAGGTGATAAAATTACAGAATGCTTTTATTTTCTTTTCCACATTATTCTTTTCCACCCATATTTTCGACAACAAATGCATACCACATATACTTTTTTTTTTCTTGCGGTACGCGGGCCTCTCACTGTCGTGGCCTCTCCCGTTGCGTAGCACAGGCTCCGGACGCGCAGGCTCAGCGGCCATGGCTCATGGGCACAGCCACACGAACCCGTGTCCCCTGCATCGGCAGGCGGACTCTCAACCACTGCGCCACCAGGGAAGCCCCCACATATACTTTTATAATAAAGAGAAAATAAACAGAACTGTACTTTCCTCTCTATCTTAACTGACCCCTGGGTCTAGATTAGAGATACTCAAGTTTGACCGGTGGTAATAAAAGAAGATCAGTGATACGATTTCCATGTATTTTGGAAAACATTTAGGACCTATGGTAGGTCTGGCCTCAACAATTGGCCTCTGGCCACTAAACAGCAGTTCTCTTTTCTGGAATTAAAGATTAGCACATTAACAAAATTAAAGCATGTCTCAAAATCAGACACCATCTCGTCTGCCATCTCAGCAAACTGCAGATGAATGCATAATACAAAACTATGCAGAGGGCTTACAACACTATTTCACAAAGTTGGCTGTGTTCTTCCTCTTTTCACAACTGGCCGGCCTGGTGCACAGCATGTTTAGCTACAAAGAGCTCTGCTGACTCTCCCTGCAACATTTTCATGGCTCGCCAGTAGATCTGTCCGCAGTGCTCAGGTCTACCAAGGGGGTGGTTCAATTCTTCCTTGATGTAATCCATCCAAAGATCTTTAAAGGGAACCCCAAAAATTACTGTAAACATACAATTAGGTAACTGACAAGGCTTTATTACATAAACTTAATTATTATTATTATTTATTTATTTATTTATTTTGCGATATGTGGGCCTCTCACTGTCGTGGCCTCTCCCGTTGCCGGACGCGCAAGCTCAGCGGCCATGGCTCACGGGCCCAGCCGCTCCGCGGCATGTGGGATCCTCCCGGACCGGGGCACGAACCCGTATCCCCTGCATCGGCAGGCGGACTCTCAACCACTGCGCCACCAGGGAGGCCCATAAACTTAATTATTTAATATCAATTCAATGCAAGATTTCTAAGAAACTTAATAACTTCTTGCTGTTATTTTCCTAGAACCCTATGGAAAACAATACCTCTCTCAGCTCCTTTACACTATGGTATTTCAAAGCCGCTTTTTTTTTTTTTAAAGTAGAAATCTTCACTTGGATCGTGACAGTCTAGTGCTCTCACCTTCAGACACAGCCCACATTCTACTATAGAATGTATATCTCTCAAGAAAACTGCTTTCACTTTAAAAAAAAAGAATCATGACAGTCTATATATTTCATAAACTCAAAAATACTAAATATTGTAAAGGGAGGATTTTGCTGAGTCTCTTTCAAGGTGAAACAGACCTCAATGAGTTCATTAGGACCTTGTCAGTCTGTTTAATAAAACTTGCTTGGGTTAGTAAAAATGCCATATTCATTCATTTCACCAGAAGGTCTGCTGAAACCTTGAAAAAGCTAATGTATTGTTTTAAATCTGAGTTTAACAACTCTACATGTCAGTTTTTGAGTTCACAAGTAAACAGACTTTACATGACTTAACCTATACCAAGAAGTATGTTTTACAAGTCCTATAAATTAGATACAGACAGTGTGGCAACAGCCCATGACAATCTTTGTCAATTAGTATCCCACTACCCTTCTGCTTTAATTCCCACCCCATTTTGTTCTGACCTACATTATTAACCTTTTCCTTACAAATATCACATTTTTCAAGGAAGCCAAACCAAACAAACCTCCTTCTAGTCCAGAGTTCTTAACAGAAGAACCATGGATACCTGGGCTTGTGAACTTGAAACTATAAGCAAAATTATGTCCGCCAGCATTTATGCACTGAGTGAGGGAGGAGGCAGGGGAAGGATGCCAAGTTTTATCCTCAAAGAGGCCCATGACCCCAAAGCAGTTAAGAACCACTATTCTAACCATCACAGGTTATAGACCACACATGCAAACAGACCCATGTGTCTATAACTGAAGTTTACTTACCAGAATCTACAGATCCAAATTCTCTCAAAGCTCTCTCATAATATTCTCTTAAGTTCGCCATCTTGCAGGATTCCTAACAAAAATAATCAGACAATCTTGCCTCAAAAGCCTAATTTATAATGTCACAAATTCATTTCACACATATTGTTAAGCAGCTATCAACTATTAGGCATTTGAAGGGGAGGAGAGATAGGTTTAAATGAACACAGCCTGACTCTGAACTTATCCAGAGAAAAGTCAAAGACACTACATGGCAGAGTGAAGTAAACGCCAGTGATAAAAGCACTTTGTTTTGGTGGCAAGGAAAAAGCCTAATTAATTCTCACCTGGGGGAACATGGGCACCTCCACGGGAAAATATATGTGAAAGCCCTGAGGTAGGAGCAGGATTTAAATAAATAAATGGGGAAGGTTCTATTCCCTATGGTAAGGGATTTCTTCCTTTGAATATCTGGGCTCTGGCACATGTTAGCCATATCCACCTTAAAATTTTTTATATCAAGGCAAAATATATATAAATACTACTTATATGAACTTCAGGAAGTTTTTTGAACCCATCAGACAGACCTTAAAGTTTCCTCACCCATAAAATGAGGACAATAATATCTCTTAGGACAACTACAAGGATTCAATTAAAATGCTGATGAATTATGCACCAAGCAGAGCAGACAGTGCTAACTTTACAATCAATACATGTTAATTCTTCACCTCTACTTCCATTTAAACATATTCTCTGTTTCATTTTCAAAGCAGATTAATTAACATCTTCAGTTTAAAAATCTTTTTGTGTAGTCAAATAACTATTTCCTCATTCCAATTTCTCTTCGCTGAGACTGTACTATTTTATAAAAAGCCAGTTTAACCTCACATCTTACATATGCATGAAAAACAGAATCACACTTTGTGAAGGGCTCATAGTGTGCATGGAACTGTGCAAAGTCCTTTCCATCCAGTCTCCCATTTGGCCTTGTAACCCTCACACCCCTGGAACAGGTATTCCGACCTTCTTTACAGATAAGGATGTCGAAGCTTTAGAATTAATTGACCTGCCCAAGGCACATAACCATTGTGTTATTAATCCAAAGCCTGGCTATGAATTATTATGCTAGACTAAGTCCTATACTGTAAGACAAGAACAGATCACTGACCCACACAATGGTCAAACCTATGAAAATAAGAGTTCAACCTCATTGTTAGTTTTTCAAAATTCAAATAAAAATAATAAACACCAATCTCTGGACTTCCCTGGTGGTCCAGTGGTTAAAACTCCACGCTCCCACTGCAGGGGGCACGGGTTCAATCCCTGGTCAAGGAAGTTCTGCATGCCGCGCAGTGTGGCAAATAAAAAAAGTAAAAAAATAAACACCAATCAAAATACCAAAATAAAAAAGAGAAGGCGAAACTGAACACTTGGAGAAGGTATGGAGGAAACAGGTATACTGACATATATATATATGGTGATTATCACTATAAATAAGTATAACTTTTATAGAACTATCTGGCAATACGTAAAGAACCATTTAAAAAGCCAGTATAGGGACTTCCCTGGTGGTCTAGTGTTTAAGAATCTGCCTGACAGTGCAGGGGACACAGGTTGGAGCCCTGGTCCTGGAAGATCGCACATGCCGCGGAGCAACTAAGCCCGTGCGCCACAACTACTGAGCCTGCGCTCTAGAGCCCATGAGCCACAACTACTGAGCTCACGTGCCACAATTACGGAAGCCCATGCGCCTAGAGGCCGTGCTCTGCAACAAGAGAAGCCACCGCAATGAAAAGCCTGCGCACCGCAATGAAAAGCCTGCGCACCGCAATGAAGAGTAGCCCCCGCTCGCTGCAATTAGAGAAAGCCCGCACACAGCAATGAAGACCCAATGAAGCCAAAATAAATAATAAATAAATAAATAAACTTATTTTAAAAAAAACAAAAAAGCCAGTATCTCCAGTCCTCAAAAGAGAAGGGAAAAAAAAAACTATATAAGCAAAATGCTTGCAGCGCTGTTTTCAATATCAAAAATCTAGAAACAACCTAAACGTAATGGAATGGTTAAGAAAACTACAGGTTTAAGAATAATACAACAACCATTAAAAATGATGCCAGGTAAAAACACAAGAATGTGTTTACAAAATGATGTTAAGGAAGAAAAAGTGAGAACCTCCACATGTCACGTAAGTCAGAAATAAAACATCATAAAACTGTGCATATGTATGTAAATAAGGATTAAAGAAAACAACAAAAATAAAAATAAATATGATCGGTTGTGTTATTGCGAGGGGATTACAGATATATTTGGACTTTCATGTATAATTTTTTTTAACTGACACTTTCCTGTATTTTTTCTCATTCACAGGTTCAGTTAAAAACACAAACAGTTACGAGTGCTTACTCTCTACCTCACAACCCAAAACAAGAGACAGACAGGGCACTGGAGGCAGAAAAGCAGCACCTCACACAGCCTGGCAGGGAGGACTTCCTGTAAGAGGTGACATCTGAGTTGTCTAGTTTCCAGACATGTACCTTTTCTTCTTTGCTTGATTACCATTCCTAAAACCACATCCATGAAAAAGGGGTTGGAGGAAGGGACCAGAAATTATACTGTATTATAAGGAGAGCTTTTTTTTTTTTTTTTTTTCCTTGCGTTATGCGGGCCTCTCACTGTTGTGGCCTCTCCCATTTGAGGAGCACAGGCTCCGGACGCGCAGGCTCAGTGGCCATGGCTCACGGGCCCAGCCGCTCCGCGGCATGTGGGATCCTCCCGAAACGGGGCACGAACCCGCGTCTCCTGCATCGGCAGGCGGACTCTCAAGCACTGCGCCACCAGGGAAGCCCCAAGGAGAGCTTTTTAAATAACAAAGTGCTGCCATAGATTAGTTAGCACTAATCCATATTCCCAGACAAAAAATGCATAGACAGGACACTTACTTGCTCCTTTTCAAACTGGATCATCTTCCTGAAAAAATCAACTGAAAATGGACGGCTTTCCTGTAAACTAAAAAGGAACAGGGGGAACCGTTATCTTCCACAGTGAAGAAAGCCTCTTACATCGCATGAATATAAACACCTGCGCCAGTGCCTCCGCCACACGTAGCTGGATAAAGTCCTGGCTGCAGTTCAGCGTGGCGACTGGACCTGGCTACCAGTCACTCACCATTTTCAATCTCCAGTGCCTTTACTCTTCACCACCACCAAACACCTACCCAGTTCTCTTCCTGTTCTCTTCTTTCTCACTCTCAGGGTTTTAAGTTCCCTCTCCTTCATCTCAAGGTCTTTTTGAAGGAGACCAAGAATTCCATTTCTAAGAATATATTCTAAGAAAATAATTTCCAATACGGACAAATAACATTTGTGCACAAAGGTTCATCAAAGCAGTTACTGTGGCCAAATAAATCATGGCACGTCCACAGGGTGGTATATCATATAGCTGTTTTTAATAAATGTTATTTATGAAGAATTGTAACTGGTAGGAAAAAGGCCAGTCTAATGTTCATCAATAAAAGTGGTACACCACATCCGATTACAGCATAATCTCAGACATGTGAAAAACAAATTTTAAAATGATACACTAAGACGGTTTTTCTCTTGATGATAGGATTACAATGAATTATTAGTTACCTCTCTCTCTCTTTTTTTTTAATTTTCCACAATGGGTATGAACTTAACAGCTCTTGGATTTATTCCTCCATCTATTTGTGATTCATATAATCTGGGTATGAGGGGCTGAGAAGGGGGTTGAGAGACTCATAATAGCTATGCGTGTCTGTGAGTACCTTTTAAACACAGCTCTGGCCTTTTTGTAGCCACCACTTCGATAAGCCCAATCCAGGTACTTATCCTTCAGAGTGACTGAGTCGCCACCCGTGACAGCTAAGACAGCTTTCTAAAATTTAAAAGAAAAGAGAAACAAGCTACATGAGGAAATGTCTACATATCAAAACAAATTTTCCCAAAACCATCCCAGGCCATGCAATGAATAGTGCTTTAAAAGGAGCACCTGCTTTAGAAATAACCCTTTGAAAGCTAGCCAACTAGCAGGGCTATCTGCTCATTCCCCACACACAAGACTTACAACACCTGTACCTTAAAGATTGCTTCAGTGTCTTCTTGGCTTTTGGCACCTTCACTCCACTCTGCCCAAGAAATCCACAATGGCAGACAAATCTGCTCACAATTTAAAAAAAAGGTTAGAAAATGACATCTTAGCACTATGCTCTGAAAACTAGTCACTATAAAGACAGGTTCCTCCTGAGATAATCAATATGTGCAATACAGAGTCATTCCCAGTCTGCCCCACTGTACAGAACTCTCAGTGCTTGGCAGGAATGGTACACCGGAACACAGACAGCCTTCAGACCCAGTTGCCCTAAGCAATACTCTCCTGTTAATGCTACTTCCCCCTGTTGGGGAATACTGCCTAAAGTTATTATCATCAATTACCAGTAAGTTAAGCACTTAACAACCCAAAACTAGTCAGACCCAAGCTACCCAGGTCACGTCTCTGCTGTGTAGGACCACAACACAAGTGCTTACTAATCTAGGCTGAACTGTCTAGCCTTTGTTCATGTCCCAGCAGCACATACAAATGAGTGGTAAAATAACTATGATTTTTTTCCCCCTATTTTAACTCCTAGAATATCTTTTTCCTACTAGTATAAAAGATTCACTGCAAAGCTTTAAGGTTTAGTCTTTTAAACTTTAAAGTTTAGAAATACTATTCTATTAGTATTTCTCGCTTATAAGATATATAAACAGGAATAGAAAAGTTTACGTAGTTTAGTCGACTTTCAAATAATGAATTAGAAATAGGCTGGTAAATGGAAGTAATTCTTCCACCCATGATCCCTGAACCATCATCACAAATGCACTCTGGGGCCAGCTTTCCTTAGACAAGTCTACTCCAAATGAGCTTTGGCTGCAGTCTTAAAAGGTTTCCCAAACAGAATGAAATACAAAAGACACAACTCACAGACCTGGGGTTTCAGGTGCACAAAGGCTTCTTCAAAAAGCATGGCTACGTCAGGGCTCTTTGAGGCAATCAGCACCTGCAGCTTCACCTGCCACATCATCACAGAGCCTCTGAACAATTCCATCCCGGCTCCTGCCACCTCCAGAGCTTCCGTAAGGAAGTCATGGTGCAGCAACAACTCGCTCTGGATAAGACAAAGGGTCATTGGAAAAGTATCTACTGAGAGCTACATTATCTATGGAAATGGGGACAAATAAAGACCTCACGCGAGGCAATAGATTCAACAGCCTTTCTACTAAACCTTTCACCACGGTGGCCAAACAGGCACAAAGTAAAAAATTTGGAATTTCTCCTCCATTCCCTGCTCCTATCCCCAAGGGCTATCAAAAAAACATAAGTGAAAAGCAGACGGCCTAAATAATTTAGGTTGAAAGTTATATTTTTAATAAAATAGTTCACTATAATAAAACCCACATCCACCACCAGTATTTGTGGGATGGTAAAGAAACAAGTTTATTCATTCAAACATAGTTGGGCACACTATAAACTGGTACCCATTTTTCTGAAAAGTCATGAGACTGTTCATGCCACAAACTTGGGAATTTTACTTTAACAAATATGCCCCAACAAATAAATGAACAGGAGGAAATATCTGTTTAAAAATGCTTCCGTCCACACTACTGTAACAGGGAAAGCAAAACCTAAAACCAATCCAATTCTACAAAATTGTGAAAAAGCAAGTAAATAGCAGTATATAATCCATTCATTCAGCAAGCATGTTAATTGCACGCTATACAGTCTAGATTCAATAATGAGGTCAGGTGCATTCCCTACTGCCCACAGCGCCTCCAATTTAGTAGCAGAGTCTGATACGTACCATCACAGAAAAAGAATCATATGCTACAGGAGTACAAACAGAAGCAGCCAACAGAATCTTTGGCAGTGATGAGAAAGGACTCCCAGAAAGGAAGCCCCATCTATGCTAAGACCTAAGGAAGAACAGGCATTAGGTGAAAGCAGAGATCCCCAGGAAAAGAGAAGACTCCCACCAGCATGTGCAAGAAGCTGAAGATGATAGAAAGCTTGGATCCGAAAGGAAATCCAAGTTCAGAATGCCAAAAGAAACTAATAATGGAAAGAGAGCAGGACTGTCAAGGCACTCTAAGCCACGCCCAGCTGAATTTACAGGGTGGGACGGACTGTCCTGCCAGCAGCATTCAGTAGCTCCAACAGAACAGCTGAACTCATCAGGCCTGGGATTTTTCACAGATAGATTCCATAATGGAAGAAGGGTACCCAGTCGTGGTACAATACAATACGCTACTAATATATATCAATAGTTTATGTCGATCTACGTATAAAGTATAGAAAAAATGTTAATGTAAAAACAGTACAACAGGGCTTCCCTGGTGGCTCAGTGGTTGAGCGTCCACCTGCCGATGCAGGGGACATGGGTTCATGCCCAGGTCTGGGAAGATCCCACATGCCGCGGAGCGGCTGGGCCCGTGAGCCACGGCCGCTGAGCCTGCGCGTCCGGAGCCTGTGCTCCGCAA